ATAATAAAAGCCAGTATACCACTTAAATTTGTACGTGTTTTATAATGTTTTTCATTCCTGTTCTGTTCTGCGTAGCATTTTAAGGATTTGTTGTGGAGTGAGAGGAACTAAAAATACATGTTTATGGTGTTTATATTGTTTGTAAAGGTTTTATTTACCGGTATTTTTATTTTACATTATTTCTGAATGTAATTGTAAAATGTAACTTATACACGTTATCTGTGTTTTATTTTCTATCAACAATGCAATTTTGACATGGTCCAACTTATAGACATTGTTATTATTATTATTTATATAATATTAACTTATTTCTTCTTATTAAAACTATTAAAACTCATTTTAATAACTGAAATAAAGTTAAAACCTAAAGCTTAAACTTAAAATCTTAAACCTTAACAAAAATTAGAAATGTTACTTTGGCAACTATTTAAAATAAGTTAAAGTTAAAGTATTAAAATGAAAAAAAAAAAATATATATATATATATATATTACACACACACACACACACACACACACACATGTTGGTGCAACAGCATTATGAGGACTCTCCATAGGCGTAATGGTTTTTATACCGTAAAAACTATATATTCTATCCCCCTACACTGCCCCTATCCCTAAACCTACCCATCACAGGAGACATGCAGCATTTTTAATTTTTTAATAAAACATTGTTTTTTATGTTTTTTAAGCCATTTGATTTATGAGGACTTTTGAAATGTCCTCATAAACCACCCATAAGTTGTAATACCAGTGTAATACACATGTCATTATACAAATTTGTGTCCTCATAAATCACATAAACCAACTCACACACACCTAAAACTAAAACTAATAAAAATGACAAAGTCACCAAAACATAAACTAAATTAAAATGAAAACTAAAAATAGTCAAATTAAAAACTAATTAAAAACAAAAATGTATTATTTTAGTATATAAATAATACTAAAATAACACTGGGTGCGGCGTAACTTCCGACAAGCACGATAAAATTTTTAAATAAAGAGTAAGAAAAATCAAAGCACTTAACACACAATGTATTTCTACCAAAATTGTTGTCATAATCATAATTGCCATTTGCCAGCTTTATTTCTATAGCACGTTTTACAATACAGACTGTTTCAAAGTGGCTTATAAACAGGAAAATAATGATTCAATGATGCACAGAAAAAAGCAACTCTAAAAAGACTATAGAAAACAGTGTTGATTCAGTTCGGTTCAATAACTGTGTGAAGTTCATCGATTATTAAATGAGTTCAATTCAGTGATGTCATCATCCAGCTGAGTTCAGTTTTCATCCAATAGTGTCAGTGCGTTCAAATGAATAATATTGCTGAATATTACGTGTTAAATGAACTTCCCAGAGGACCGGCAGGATCAAACGCTGCTTCTGGTGGATCCACATTGGTTCTCCTTTATGTCAACTTAACCGTGAGATGCTTGGCTTGCAGGAGGAGTGTGTGTGTGTGTGTGTGTGTGTGTGGTCCATCGGTTTGAAGGTTTAGCTGCTTCTTCTGAGGCCTGGAGTCTGGATCAAACACGAGCGACACGCTGGCTCTGTGATCCGCTTCCCCTCGACTCTCTCACTTCTGGCTGAAGATCCTGTGACATGAATAACCCGTTTACATGAACACACTCCATTAACAAATCAAATATCTCCAAAATCATCTGTTCTTCAAATATCTGTGTCATTAATCCTGCTGTTTGAGATCAGTACTATGTGATTAATGTTTGTGAAAGAGTCTCTTCTGCTCAGCAAGGCTGCATTTATTTAATCAAAAATACAGTAAAAAATTATGAAATATTATTCCAATGTAAACAGCTGTTTTCTATGTGAATATACAGTAAAGTCTAATTTATTCCTGTGATCAAAGCTGAATTTTCAGCATCATTACTCCAGTCTTCAGTGTCACATGATCCTTCAGAAATCACTCTAATATGAGGATCTGATGCTCAAGAAACATTTATGATTATTATCAATGTTGAAAAGTCATATTTTTGTGGAAACTCAGGATTCTTTAATGAATAGAAAGCTCAAAAGAATTTTTTTTAACATTATAAATGTCTTTACTGCCACTTGCCATCAATTTAATCCATGCTTGCTGAATAAAAGTATAAATTTCTTAAATTTCTTAATTTTCCGGCAATGTTTGCTTTGCATTATGAATTGTGTTGCGACACATTTCTGAATCATGCGATCATTTGTGTTCATTCACCGGCATAAAGCATGCTTTAATAACACTCATTTATGAGCATGAAAATAGTCTGTTTATGTGTGTTTTCTGATAATTACAGTTCCATAACTTTGCAACATGCAAACATCAAATGCTTTAAACCAGTCGCCGAGTCTCCTGCAATATTCAGAAATGTTATTGATGCGACCGCACTGACTCTATCGGATGAGAATAAAACTGGAATTGAGTGGAATAATGACATTATCATCTGTAGAGCTGCTTATATCCCAATTACATTTCATGATTAATGAACTTTGCAGTTATTGATCGGAACTGAATCAACTGAAAAATGACACTCAAGCTGCTTTACAGAACATTAAATGTCTCTTTTTTAAAGTTGCATCATTATTTCTCTGTTTACAAGTGAAACTCGAAAAATTAGAATATCGTGCAAAACTTCAGTAATTCAACTTAAAAGGTGAAACTAATATACTCAAAGTGAGATATTTCAAGCCTTTATTTGTTATAATTTTGATGATTATGGCTTACAGCTTATGAAAACCCCAAATTCAAAATTAGAATATTGTGAAAAGTTTTCATAAGCTGTAAGCCATAATCATCAAAATTATAACAAATAAAGGCTTGAAATATCTCACTTTGAGTCTATATAATATATTAGTTTCACCTTTTAAGTTGAATTACTGAACTTTTGCACGATATTCTAATTTTTCGAGTTTCACCTGTATTATTGTGAAGCTGCTTTAAAACACTTATAAAGCGCTACAGAAATGAATGTGACATGTATGATGTTGCCTATGTAGACAGCAAGGCCGCTCATATAGGTTTGGGAACAGAGCCGCAGGTGTTGTGTGTTATACGTCATGCCATAAATCTGTGAAAATCAAGCGTCCCGCTGCATCTGGAGCTAACACTGGATCCGGCAGTAAAACCCTCATTTCTAAACGACGCGCGCACTAAATAATTCGCAAGCTGCATAAATTCTTAAAAAAGTTGTGACGAACATTGCTGTTCTTTTGCTTTTGGTTTTGAATGAAAAGCAGCTGGCGTGCGTTAGGTTATATTAAGTTGTGTTTGCTCGGCATACTTTAATCCTGCATCTGCGAGCAGAAGAAAAGAGAAGTGCATGTTCAGAGATCTGAGAGCCTCTTGTGTGTGTACTGTGCCTACGCGTGTGTGTTTCTGCCATTAAACATCATATTCATACGCTCTTCTGCTGCTCAGACTCATTTGTGTTGGCTCAAGTGAACATGTACTGTGTTTAGCTTTTAGGGCTTCAGATGGTCCTTGAATGTGGCACCACCTGATCTATTCACGAAGCAAATATGTCATGTAATATGCGTTATTATATACTGTATAAGGGAGACCATATGCACAACAGTCCGCTTATATAAATGCTTGTCTTCTTGTGCTTAGCTGTAAAATAAAACGGTTTTATTAAATCTGGTCCTCCAAACAAAAATTCCAGTATCATATTTTTGTAATATTATAATGTAAACAAGTGAACACATGAAAACCCCACAAGATTAAATAAATAAATAAATAGGACAAGTCTAGTTTTTGCCCATCAGGATTGATTGGATGGTGAAAGATTTGAAGCAATTTGTTGTTCATTCATTCATTTTAATTTATGTATTTTAATCAATGTAGGCTTATGTATTTTATTTTATTGTATTATTATTATTTCTTTTATTTTATTATTATTTTAATTGTGGATTGAAGAATTGTTCATAAAAAGTTGATGAACATGTATTGGGCCTATTCATAACTGTGGATATGAGTCAAAATTTGATATGTAATTTGTACGACGTTTGTTTTTATTGTTTTTATTGTGTTTCTGTGAAGCACCGGTCAGCAGTAATGCTGTTTTAAAGGGATAGTTCACTGTGAAATACATTTTTGGTATGTTTTAGCTTACCTCAAGGGCATCCAAGATGTAGGTGTCTTTGTTTCCGCAGTAGTTTCAATTTTGATATTTTTAGGTCAAACCGTTCTTGTCTGTCAGTCATATAATGCAGGTCTATGGTCACCACCTCAAAGAGCATGCACAGAGAAGTCCAAATTAAACATGATTTAATGACTCGTAAATGTAAGTACACAAAAATTTATTTCACAGTGAACTATCCCTTTAAGGTGCTATATAAATAAAAGTGGACTTGACCTTGAGTGACCTTCTAGAGTTAGTAGTTTAGGACACAAGCTTATTTTTCATAAATGTCATGTTGTAATTCTCATTAATAACTTTTCATTAATTTCCACTGCATGGTCAAAACAATGGTTTGATTCATTTACCTTCTCAATTTTATGATTTTCTTTCATATTCTTTTACACTTTAAAATGATCTGAAAAGCCATTTTTTATATATATATATATATATATATATATTTTAAACTGAACAGTTGTGAAAGTTGTATTCCCCCCCATGAGTTGTTACATATTTTTACCTAAAATATCCTGGAATATCTCCTTCCTCCCACCTGAATTTGCTGCCTACGAGGCCTTTGAGTTTTGGAGACTCATTTCCATAATCTCATACGCAGCAGTGAAACTCATAACCGGCCTGACAGCTCCGGCACTCGAGACGCTCTGGAGTTTAATGACGCAGGGCCAAATGGCTTATTTGAGTAATAGAAAAAGGCAAAGCCATTAAATGAACCGTATGTCCCTGTACGGTTACTCACACGATTATTGTGTATCTCATCATGTGATCTACATCAAACCCTCTCCCGCTGACAGAATGTGTTGAAGAGTGAACATGCGTTCAGTGTATAATGTCATTACGGTGAGCGTTTGTGTGTGTGATCTGCAGGGGAAAGGAGTTCGGTCATGATGTGGACTTCATCATTAAAACACCCGAGCCGGGACAGGAGGACGCCGTTCTGCCAGCGCTGATCCAGCGATTCAAAGCACAGGTACATACAAATATAATATACACGACAAATATTTAGTTTCTCAATGCATGACCTCGCGTTTTGCTTTAGAAAGATGACCTTGTTTCCAGAATAAACTTCTCAGTTTAGAACGTTTTGCTTGGAAAATTTGCTTGAATTTTTTGACAGACAATAAACATATTTTTTTTATTAATTGAATTCTTTACATAATGTACATATGTTTAATGTTTAAAGGCACACTGTGGAACTTTTCAACCTTTATAATATATTACCAAAACACATTGAGATGGTACATCGACTTACAATCGGTTGAATGACACGTCTGCCGAAGCCTGAAGGTGTCTGTATCGCTTTTACTGGCACTATGTAACTTCGGGTTTCGGGTAGGAACCCGAGCACAAAAAGAACTACAAAATTCGACCGCTTTACGGCATACGTCACTTCCCCCACCACCCCAACTTCCTCAGATTCTAGCGTGAGAGCTCAACTCGTGTTTGATTGCCGGCGTCTGTATGTTGTCGTCATGGCTGAATCAACAGCTACTCGGAAGAAAGCGAAGAAAGCAAAGATTTTGTCAGAGGAGACCAAAAAAAAGAAAAAGGGAGAGTTTAAAATAAACATCGGCATAAAAGTGTATATATAATGTAATATTTACTGCGAATTCGTGTAACAAAACTGATATAAGTCACAACATACTGCCGTGTACAAATGTAAATGTAAATGTTTTTTTTCCTTTCAGCTCATATATGTTTGTATTTGTGTAAAAGGAAAAACAAACTGAAGACTACAAATAACGGAAATATGTAGTGAGTTATATCAGTTTTGTTACACGATTTCCCGACTACTCGATTTCATCTCCAACCCATTGCAAAGAGATCCTGAAGACGTTCATTGTTTGCTTCAGGTGTGTTTGATTAGGGTTGGAGATGAACTGTGCAGGACAGACGATCGGCAGGAGCAGGATTGGGCAACCCTTGTCAATGCGCCTGATCAGACATTGTTTTCTGCATATAGTGTGAGTCCAAGTTCAAACACTATGAAACGCTCCATTAACGTACGGAGCTCTGAAACACTGCCAGCGGGACATTAAACAGGAAGTGTCTGTCCGAGCTGCCAACAGGTTTTGCGTGGGAACGCAAAAATCTTTGCGAGGGAACGCAAAACTTTTGCGAGGGAACGCAAATATCTTTGCGAGGGAACGCAAAAGTTTTGCGAGGGAACGCAAAGTTTCTCGGGGGAACGCAAAAGTTTTGCGAGGGAACGCAAAAGATTGAAAAAAAAAATCTCCCATCCTAAAAAAAATTCCACCACCACGTCCCTTTAGGGGCTCCGTAATAAAGACACGGGAGGTTGACCGGTTGACTGTTTGTTGACTTTTGCGACAATGCTGCGGCGCTTGTGGCCTCTAGGGGAACTAGACGTGAAAATTACAGGTCGAGCGCACCCTAGTGGCCAAAAATTCCACAGTGTGCCTTTAAGCAATTAATGTATATTTAATTTTTATTGTATTTTTCATTTATTTGTTATACTCGTATATTATATATTTTTTACATATTTATATATAATCTATATATATATATATATATATATATATTTTTTTAAAATATATAAATAAATAATAAAATAAAATATGCTTTCACTGCTCTCTCTCTCTCTCTCTATATATATATATATATATGATTTTTAATATGTGAAACTCGAAAAATTAGAATATTGTGCAAAAGTTCATTTATTTCAGTAATTCAACTTAAAAGGTGAAACTAATATATTATATAGACTCAAAGTCAGATATTTCAAGCCTTTATTTATTATAATTACAGCTTATGAAAACCTTTTCACAATATTCTAATTTTGAATTTGGGGTTTTCATAAGCTGTAAGCCATAATCCTCAAAACTATAACAAATAAAGGCTTGAAATATCTCACTTTGCATGTAATGAGTCTATATAATATATTAGTTTCAGCTTTTACGTTGAATGAATGAAGTTTTGCACGATATTCAAATTTTTCGAGTTTCACCTGTAAATGCATAATAAGGCAAGGCAAGGCAAGTTTATTTATATAGCACATTTCATACACAATGGTAATTCAAAGTGCTTTACATAGGAGACAATAAAATAATCAAAACAAATAAGAATAATTAAAACAGTTTAGAATAAAAAAATAAAATAAAGTACAGTAAAAACAGTCGGACGAACAGTGGCACAGTGCTCATTCAGTAAATGCATAGCTAAACAGATGTGTTTTGAGTCTGGATTTGAATGTGACTACTGTAGGAGCACATCTGATCATCTGAGCACATCTGCACATCTGATGATTAATAAAAAAAAATACTTTCATTGCTTAATGAAATTTGATATATATGTAGTTTAATTTAAAAAGCAATGAAAGTGTTGTTGTGGATGCTGCCCCATAATGCCCATCTACAGTCTGGTTCTTGCTGTGTTTTGCTGAGAGCGCATCGATCAGCTGGAGTAAAGTTTCTCATCAGATGTGCTGGAGTGTGTCTGACTCTCTCCGTGATTTCATCGACGTTCGGCTGTGCGACTCGTGGCTTTGATTGTTCTGCGGAGACGAGAGGCTGTTGTTGGGAAGGGGGATTTTAATGGTCACTTAAAACAATCACACCGGATTGTTCATGCTGTGGCTGGATAAACAACTTCATCTTTTCTCTAAAGACTGGCGGGTCATTGACGAGCAGTACAGAAACACAAAACAGGATTCTGTGGGATTTTTAGGGTGTTCGTTTTTAAACAATCAAAGGAGAGCCATGAAAGACATGCATTACATTGATTTTACATCACGATTATTGGGGTTTTACTTCATATTGTTACAAACCACAGCTCTTTACCATGGTAAAATCACTGTAATGCATATAGCTAGAAGCAGGGTTTGAAATTAACACTCACCAAAACAATCAACTGTGGCGAGTAACGCTGTCAAATCATGAGCCAATTTAGCGAGTTACTTATTATATTTACTCAGTTTCCTGGGGAAGTTTGTGTAAGACAAATCTGTGCAGATTTAGTGCAAATGCTCGTGATATATTAATATATTACAGCCTATTACACAGAATCTGCTCATATCTGGCTTACTTGAACACACACGTCACTACGCGTCAAATAACGGCGCTTGTTCATTTGCTTTGAAGCAATAGCGAAGATTAAACAGCATTTGGTGAACAGAAAATACATTGTTATTTTCCAATATCCTAAAAAAAATAAAAAATGTCTTTGTACTGTATAAATCTGTCCATCTAAAACACACTTTTGGTGATGAGGATGAAAGAGTTAATCTTTTGAACTTTCTATTCATCAAAGAAAAATTTCATAATTTCATTCATAATCCTAAAAAATAAAATGTGTCACGGTTTCCAGAAAAATATCAACTGTTTTCAACATTGATCATAATCATAAATGTTCAAGCAGCAAATCATCATATTAGAGTGATTTCTGAAGGATCATGTGATCAAAATTCAGCTTTGATCACTTAGTTTACTATATATTCACATAAAAAACAACCGTTTTAAATTCTTATAATATTTCACAATATTTACTGTATTTTTGATCAAATAAATGCTGCATTGATGAGCAGAAGAGACTTCTTTCACAAACATTAAAAAAAATCTATTCGACCCCAAAACTAACAGAAAAGACATTGTTATTTTATTATCTTCTGTACTGTATAAATCTGTCCATCTAAAACACACTTTTGGTGATGAGGATGAAAGAGGAAGAGAGGAGATGCTGGATGACAGGATTTTGTTTGAATAAGAAATTAATTTATGAAATCCAAATTTTACAATACAGGTGAAACTCGAAAAATTAGAATATTGTGCAAAAGTTCATTTATTTCAGTAATTCAACTTAAAAGCTGAAACTAATATATTACATAGACTCATTACATGCAAAGTGAGATATTTCAACCCTTTGTTATAGTTTTGATGATTACCGGTATGGCTTACAGCTTATGAAAACCCCAAATTCAAAATTAGAATATTGTGAAAAGGTTTTCATAACCAATTATACCAAATAAAGGCTTGAAATATCTCACTTTGCATGTAATGAGTCTATATAATATATTAGTTGCACCTTTTAAGTTGAATTACTGAAATAAATGAACTTTTGCACCATATTCACATTTTTCGAGTTTCACCTGTATATATAAAAGCTGACGTATAATCTGGTTAATTTCTTTTTTTTTCTTTTTTTTTTGGCTGGTAGACGTTCTGAATGGCCGGTAACTTAAAAATTAAGTAGCCAACTTAAATAAATTTCAAACCCTGGCTAGAAGAACATGCTGCACTCCTCCGCTCTTCTTCTTTTGCCTGGGGTTCAGATCTGTCCATCACTCTGCGCTCGGACAGCGGGATCGGATCGCCACCACTGAGTGAACCGTGAAGCGCTTCTGTGAGACGAGTGATGAAGTGGTGATGGACTTCAGGACACTGAAGCTCGAGACGCTGACAGGTTTATTGATAAACTAAACCGCAACTTAGTTTGCTGAGGTGAGCTTAGTCTTGTGTCTTTATGAAGGCCAGAGAGAACAGAGAGATTGTGTTTTCAGTTTCTCTCCGCTTCATGAACGACCCTCTTCAGGAGCCGTGTTAATAACTGCAGCGGGTTATTAACTATTGTTATCATTTCTGATTATTATTAATGCTAAAAACAGTTCATATTTTTGTGCTAATACGTTTTATTTTTGATGAATAGGAAGTTCAAAAGAACAGCATTTATTTGAAACTGAATATTTTATAACATTTTAAGTGTCTTGTGTGAGTGAGTGAGTGTATGTGTGTGTGTGTGAGTGAGTGTGTGTGTGTGTGTGTGTGTGAGTGTGTGTATGTGTGTGTGTGTGTGAGTGAGTGAGTGAGTGTATGTGTGTGTGTGTGTGTGTGAGTGAGTGTGTGTGTGTGTGTGTGTGAGTGTGTGTTTGTGTGTGTTTGTGTTAGTGTGTAAATGAGTGTGAGTGTGTATGTGTGAGTGAGTGAGTGAGTGAGTTTATGTGTGTGTGTGTGAGTG